TACTTCAAATGTGCTTTGACTTTGAAAATTCACAAAAAGTTGGTAAACAGAGAACATAAAATACCAAACTTCCACATTTGCATTTTCTGTGTTGGGCTGTTCCTATGGATTCTTAGTTGAAAAAAAGTCTTACGTATTTGTCGTTTATTGTAAACCAAACACTTTTAAAAATATGGGCAAAGTACTAAAACAAAATATCCTACAAGTTCTTCCTATCTGCTTGATATGCTGTTTCTGTAAAACTATATGAAAAGGGGCCATACGGCCTCTAACAAATCACTTATGATTACTGATAAACAATTAAAACCCCAAATCTAAATAATACACGATCCCAGTTTCTTTTGTTTAAATGTACTTTTGGATCAAAATAATATTTATTCTACATATTCAGTAAATAACCTATTAATCTTTAAACATATTTTAATTTCCAAAAGCAAGATGTTAAGATTTTCTACCATATCTAAACTGAACAGTCACAAGAAACAAGTGTGGGATAAAATGGAAGAATTCTGCTGCTAAATATAAAATAGACTCCATTTAAAGAGAAAAGAATGTCCATTTTTTAAAAAAGTGGAACACTTTAAAATGCATCTTTAAAATAAAAGGCAGTGTAGAACAGTAATTTTAAAGCCTGAATTAAAGCCCCAGACTGCTTCGGTTCAAATCTCAGATATATGAATGTGTGAACACCTCTTTGAGCCTATCCGGGTGAATTCCTATTCTGGCAAATGTGAATTAGAGCACATTCACATTCTAGTACCCTAAAATTGTGGTGATGAGTAAATAAGTTAACATATGTAAGTACTTCAACAATACCTAGCACAGTGTTTTTAAATGTAATATGATTGGTCATAGCCTGACAATTTTTTTATTATACTTTAATGCAAGCAAGATTAATAACTGTCACAAAACTGTTTTCTAAAAAGAACATCTAGTTAATACCTTGTATGTGCTAATTTTAAAAAAGGTATGATTTAGGAAAAAATAAAGCCTGAATGTCACTAAGTAGATAAATGAAATCACTGACTAAAGCTCTGGATCTTCTTGGCGAAACAGGGTACATTAATCTTGGCTTCACTAACCACTTACAAGTGATTTTAAAACTTATGAAAACAATTAAATTAGGAAAAATTGCTTTTCTCGATTTTAAGCAACTAAAATGTGAAAAATACACTTTAATGTCCCTATTTCTGTCCTTATTTTCATCAATTTACCAACACTAAAAACAGTTTTGCTTTCTGGTTTCATTTCCTGCAAATGATGTAATATATACCCTATTTCAGTGGTAAACACTTTGGTACAACTAAAGTTAACAGTAACAGTAATGTAAAAACTTCTCAACAAGTACACACTAAACAATTTGGAGTTCATATTGATTAATAGTGTCCATTTACATCATTAACTGATTTTTTGACTTAAGATTATTTTCTGTTAGTGTAAATCTAAGTCACAAAAACATTAGGGACCATATAAAATAAAGCCTCAAAGACTTCTAAGTAAAAGAGTAGGAATGGAAGGAAAGCTCTGAAATTGAAATTAGTGTCTCTCCTATCTAAAAACCTGACTGATGTGATTCCTTGGCAGTTTATTGAGACAAAAACATCATACATATTTTGAATGACTCTAAATGCAAATTAAAGCTACTCTCCAAAGTTACCTTAAACCTACTAGAGTTATTTTATTAGGGTTTATATAAAAATGACATGCAAAATTTAATTTATAAAGTTAGCTTTGAACATAAAAAATTAGTGAAAATGATTGGTAGATGAATAACATTTAATAAAATGGGGAAATAAAGCAGTGATTTTGGTGATTTGTAGTCATCTGTTTACTCATAATAAATCTATTTTAAAAGAAATCTCCAAAGAGAGTATTCCATAACCCACAACATGCCTTTGTACATTTATTCATTTAACTATTATCCCCTTCAATAGGTTCCTCCATCCCTAATATACTTACATGCAATGAACTTTAAACAAATTTTCCTTTTATCTTATCAGGAGAAACTACCATGTATCTGAAAATTAAGTTATCTTTCATTCATCCTAAGCTGAACAGTTCTAGTTCCTTTATTCTTCCTCTATAGTTTCTAAATTCTAACAGTCTTGTTCCTGGTTTTCTGAATCTCTCCTTGGAGCTAAACACAGATCAAGAAACAGCATACAAGACCACTGCTTTACTCCATCTAATGCAGATCTGTGTTACTTTTATACCCAACCTTTTTAAGAGGTACAACTCTCTTGCATCAATTTTGACATTACTGTCACTACGAAGTCTAATACCAAACATATCATAAGGTTTGTTTCTCCTCATCTCAGACATGTGTAACTTATTTTCATTTCTAGAAGGTTAGCTTCCAGATAAAAATCATTCACCATTTACAAATAAACAGAAATTCATGTAGAAGCAAATTTTTATCCTTGCCCAGGTGTTAGCATTAATTACCAGAGTACTAAGAGGCAGTCCTTATCTGCAAAGTGCTCACAACCTAATTAATGAACTTTATTCATCTGCACACATTTCATTATAACATCAAACATCAGTATTAAAATTTCAAGAATAAACTCATGGTAAACCTACCATTTTTTCTCAATAGTCCTATCAGTCTTTCCAAGATAGTTATATACATATACCAAGACAATGTTCCATTTGCATATGGCCCATTTCAGCTATAAAATAACAAACAGGATTTGCCCAAATACCCATAAATGACTAATCCAACGATTTTTTAAGACCTTAAAAAGAGAAATAACTTTTTAACAAGTTTTAATGAGTTCCAAAAACATGAACCCAAGTTAAAACTAAATTATTAAATATCTTTACTAATTCTGTACTCATGAATACATTATTATATTTGTACTTACGAAATTATTCTCCTTAAAACTCTGAATCAAACTTTTGTTAATTCCTTTTTTGACAGGTTTCACCTGCTAATTCCAAGAAAACTGGCTCGCATATAAACCAAACTATATAGTTTCTGCAGTATCCCAGTACCATCTATTTCCTGCATTTTTTTCTTTAAATAAGAGGGGAAATCAATTGTGAGGATAAAAATTTGCACATTCTGCTGTTACCTAAATATCTGGGCCTCAGTTTCCTTTTCTTTAAAATGCAAGCACTGAAATGACTCAAATTTATAGACTTCCTGTATTTACTCTTTTAAATAGATCTTTTAAAATGATTTACAGTAACTCTGTCAAAAAATAAAAATGCTAAACTTTAACGTTTAGTGCTCACAATACTCATATTGCTCCCATCATCCTGTAGTATCAACACCACCAATTATTACTCAGTATATCAAAACCACAACAACATTAAAGAGAATACCCATATAAATAATATCTATATATTAAATTGTAGATTTCTATTTTGTGGAAATCCACATTTATCTTTTTATGAGGTGGTAATAGGCAAGGTAAATTAAGAATTTTAAAGTGTTCTTTAACAAACAATAAGAATCAAGGATTCATTTCATCTTTAACAATCCACAGGTCAAGGTAAACATAAATGTCCTTGGAAATGTCTAATTTCCCCACAGTAATAAACATCTTAGGAACACTGCCATATGAACAATAATTATTAAATATTTTTTGCTGTAATGCAACAAGTATATGTTTACATCCTCAGGGATTTTTATCATATAAACATAGTATGCAGCCTAACAAAGTAGGAAAAAAGTACCAAGACTTAGATCAAAGTACTTAAATTCAAGTCCCAAGTCTGCCATCTACTAGCTTACTTGAAAATGATTCTAATACCACAGCATTTTATCAGAAATGGCGGTGATAAGAAGGTAACTAAAATTTAATGTTATCTCATAAACAATCTTTTAGAATATTTCATTGACTCAGGATAAACCCCTATAATGAAATTATTCTTTCCATTCCATAGATGAAGGTACTGAGGTGCAATGATTTAAAGTAACTTTCCTCAAAAGTCATACTGCAAACTAAGTGGTGAAAAGGTAACCTAATTTGGGTCTAAATCTTATGTTCCTTCCACTAAGCCATATCGAGTAAATGAAAAAACACTCTGTAAATTATATACCACTGTTATGGTGACGATAAGAAATTAAAATAACTTTTATTATAATAAAGAAGCGCATTATACTTCCTAATAAAACAGAGCACTTTATGTTACATATTCACATACTGAAGTTATTCTGAATACCACTTGATATGGCCCACAAATATTAAAATCTCCAAATACTTCCTTCAGTATTTTAAGTATATCCTTTCGTATTTTATAAGTTTGAACGTTAACAAGTGACTTAAGCCTCAAGTGGACTTATCTACTTTTTGCAGGCCTGCGTTATCCTTCAAACAGGAGGGGAAGAGCTGCACTTCTAAGAGAAACGCTACCGGCGTCTATCAAGCCTCCAAGGCACAAGACCACGTGGTACCACTCAGAAGCCTAAGGTTCCGTACTCCCCTCCCTCATTTTGACAAGGAACTAGGAACTAAGGTTCCTTTCTCTTAAGTGGCGCCCTGACACATGCCACCTGTGTAGTACGAACCGCAAACATCCTGCAGCCGGCCTCCCGGAAGAATATGAGAATCAGAATAGGGAACTTGGATGCCGACAATGCCGGGAAAAGAAATGACTAAAGAAGTAGAGAGTGAGATCCTGATCAGCTGCGGGACCAGGACCTGTCAAACATTGAGAGACTCACACCAACGAGTGTAACCTATCGTTCGGGAAGGCCTGGGGTGGGAGCGGCACTACCAGAGGAAGAAGGACGAAGAGAACTGCACGAGCCGCCGGCGCCGCCGCCGCTCCCCGCAAGCCTCTTAGCACGGCCCGACGAGCCACGAACCCTGGCCCTCATTTCGGGTCCAATCTTTGCTCCAACCTTTCGGGAGCGGCCAAAATCCTGCTGCCCGAGGCGGCCGCCGCCGGACCTGCCCGCACCTGTCACCACCGAGACACCAGACCGCAGTTCCCGCCCAGTTCTCCACCACCCTCGGGCAACCACAGCCACCTCAACTCCTTTCCCTCACCAGGTGTCCCCTTTCCGGAGCGGGGTTTTGAGCAGCGTCGCGATGTCAGACCGCTGGATGTCCAAATCCGCTGCTCCGCCTTCCGCCATCTTCTTCCACTAGCGGTAGCGGAGGCGGCAGCGACGGCGGCGGCCCGCCCCAGAGCATTGTGGGAATGGCGTCCCGCGGCCCCTCCCAGTCGGCAGGTCGAAACCAAAAGAGACGTAAGGTTGGGGGGGGGTGCGCCTCCGGAGAAGCGTTGGGCCCGGGCGGAGTGAGTGCGCCGCGGTGGTCTGCTGCCCCCCATCGGCTCCCGCCCGTCCAGCAGCTCGCCTCGGCCTCCTCCGGCCCGCGACCGCCTGGTTTTAACTCTCGTCTGTGAGGCCTCGGTCCTTTCGCGCTTCAGTGGTGTCGTCACCCCGTCCGTCCTTGACTTCTGCCTTCCCCTCCCTCTTTCCCACAGACGTCTGAAAATCCTTATTTGCGCATTCACTCACGCTTGAGGGTGGGGCGGGGGGCGTGGGGACGGCTAAAATATGGCAGAAAATTTTTAACAGGTCCGTGACTCGAGTCTTTTCGCTGCGAGTCGCGGAACCTAAACTCGGTGAATATTGGGCCAAACAGAGAACAATACGAAACCGAACGCTTAGCCGCAGTGATCTGACTGGGCTATTTCTTGCGCTTCTACTCCTGCTGTAGGTGGAGACCTTTTACAGGTTCTTTGTGACGCCTCCCCAGGCACACCCAGATAGCTAAGCTGCAGTGAAAAACATGTTCCAGTTCCTCGGTGAACAGAGTGTAAAATATGTAACGAATAATGCCAGGTACTAAAGGGGAAAAAACGGGCGAGAAACCCATTCTCCTAGATGTTAGGAAGTAACATTTTCTTAGGCACACCCTTCGCATGGTGTGTGCACCTGAAAGTGATAATACCAGCTATTATTTGAAGCCAGTTGTGTTATAAATGGGAAAATCGAGTTTCTCAAAAGTCAAATGCTAACGTCACACAGTAAGTGGAGAGGCAATCCAGCTTCCAAAGCCCACTGGCTATCTATACACTATAGTACACTAATTACCACTCCGTATGAAAGTCTAAATTAAAATGTAAACTGAGCTGCACTAGAGTCATAAAACAACCCCCAAAAACCTTTGTACAACTAGCGGCTAGCACAATGCTGCCTAACATATAAGAACCACCCAAATATGTGTTTCATAAATGAATTGTGGCAAAACTGCTTAAGTAATTCCAAGCATGAAGATGTCCGGAGATTTGACTTTAAGATAACACGTGATGTGAAAAGACTAAACGATGGATAAGAATTCCTGCATGATCTCTCTTGTTTACTCATTTTCAACCTCTACCCTAACTCATTTGGTGAGAATGCAGTAACTGGGTGTAATATGCTACTAAGAAGTCCTAAACCCTTCCAAGGGTAGTGTATATTGGCATTGTAATTTGTGTGTATCAGCATTATTACTGCTTATTTTCTTTGAAGAATTACTATTTTGTATTATCGTATCATCCTTGATTTGAAATTCTGGAAGCAGCTTCCAATTACTGCTATTTCTTATACTATTTGACTCTTGACAAGTTAAAAATTAGAGTTTGTTTAACTATGAATACCATCAAAGTGTTACGTTTCCCTCCTTTCCCACCCAACCTCTGAAAGAGAACTAAGTAGTTTTCCAGAGAAAGGCAGCATGATATGGGAAGAATAGTGGAGTCATATGAACATGAGTTCAAACCTCATCTCAACCTCTAGCTGCAAAATATTTAACTTATAGTTTAGTCATTAAATTGGGAATAACAGTACCTATGTTAAAGAATTTTTATAAAGATTAAATGAAACTGTGTGTTTATTACTTGGGACATAGTAGCCAATCAATAAACACTAATGTTGTTCACTATGGACAGGATGAATTGTAATAGTGTGTAAATTATATCTCAATAAAGCTGTTGGAAAAAAGTTACAGGCTTTGAAGGCAAACATACTCTCCATCATTTTATAAACATAACATAATTGAGAAGTGATGCCTCATGCACACTCTGCTGTCCAATTTCCTTTCAAAGAAAGTGCATTTTTGATATGTTGAAGTCTGTAGCCATGCAAAAAATGAAATAACCTTTTCTTCATTTGCACCATGTTCAAGGCAATGAGTTAATTGGATATAGATGTGTAAGTTCAATGTCAATTTGAATTATATGTCAGATTTATGAGGTCATTTTGTAGACCTAACTAGTTGCCGTCAGAGTCAAGAAAGAAATAATAGTCATAGTATTTTATTTAACAAGCACTTATAAAGTGCCAAACCAGGTTCTAAACACTTTGATTGAAGTATTATCTTGATCCTCATAACAACTGCATGAGGCAGGTATTATTATTATTACCATTCTGTAGATGAGGTATTGAGGCAAGTGGCAGAACCCAAATTTGAAACCAAACAGTCTAGCTCCAGAATCTAGAAGTTTTGAGTAAGCTTTTATTTTTCTACTGACCTTCATGATCTTGATTACAGCAATCAACTTTCTAGTGACTTCAGTTTACTAATTTATGGAAATTCTGCTTATTTTACTTATGCTTATTCTACTCTCAGTTATGAAGAGAAATAAGATATTGTTTATAAATACTAAATTGGTTAAGGTCCACTACTGAATATTTTCTCTACTGAATAACTAAGTAGATAATTGATGAGAAATGTTACTTTCCCATGAATCACACAGATAATTGAATATAAGCCAGGGGTTACATCAGCTTGTTTGGAATAAGTATCTTCATTGACGCTTCCCTTAGTTAATTTTATAAAAATGTAATATTTACTTGGTGATTGCCATTGCCTTCTCAGACTCTGCACCTTTCTTGTCCATTAAAAATTTAACCTAGGGCTTTGAATAGGGAAGGGGGTATGCTGGGTACTTTAGAAATTAGGCTTGATATGAATAAAGTGCACCTTACATAAAGGCAGGATTCCTTCATCTTCAAATAATTTCCTCTCTGCTCACCGATGTTAAAATGATCCCTTTCAGAAAGGTTCTTGTATCCTACAATTAAAAGATAAGACTTCAAATGTCAACAGTCCAGGGGAGAGTAAGTCTTAAAACTAAGGTGTTAAATGAGAGCTGGTTTTCAGCCTGAGATGGACCAGAGAAAGAAGAAAAAGCACTGCATTTTTTAAAAAATAGAGCTGAATGCAAGAAAGTACAAAGAATTCCAAGAGGAGCTTCGCGTACTTCACAGTTTTGTTTGGTGCTGGCTACATGAGCCTAAGGAAGAATCTGCTAGAATCAGCACATCCCCTAAAGGAACAATGATTGATGACCTAGCTGTCTTTATTTCTCAACACTTCCTATCTCAGGTCTTCAGGAACCACTGTTTCATTTTTTCCTTCTTGTCCTTCCTCTACGGTTATTCCCTCCGATAACGCCCCACTCCCCCCATGCCTGTTCAACTATCTAAACCCTTCATTCTTTTCTCTTTTGTAATTTTATAACTCTCTTTTCGCTTTACTAGCTCTCTGGACAGCTAAAAGGCAGTGGAAAGGCAGGGGAGTAGTGCAAACACCAAAACAGCATGTAGTAATGTGCTTAATCTGTTAATGATATTTTTAAACTTGAGATATGAATAAAACTTGTAAGTGCCACGATGCAGTTTTTAAAACTTAAAAAAAAAAACCCCACAGAGGCTTCTTATTTCAGATAAGTGTTAGGTGCTGATAAAGAGAAAGAAAAAGTAGTGAAATGAATACAGTGCCTTAGAAAAAGAGCCAGTATACTTGGATTTTGACTCTGGCTCAGTGCCACTAACTAGCTGTGTCACCTTGGCCAAGTTATTTAATCTCTGTGAACATTTGTTTTCTAATTAAAAATAAGATGATTAGACTCTTCTGGGGCTGAAAAATGCTTGCAAGGGTTCAATATAGCTAAAGTAAGTGGGCGAAGAAAAACTGTTAAGACAGTAAGGAGTTGTGGGAACTCTAATGAATGATCTGCCCTAACTAAAGTTACTTAAATGAAAAAAATTAGAACAAACAAAATTATACCTTCTACCCTAAAGGATCTAGAAAGTTTAATTTTAACATGGGCATGAAGTCTGCTAATGAATTAATCTGAGCTGCTACTTTTTATTCTCTATTTTGGAAGAGTACACAAAATGCTGTGAAAGCTGACACTACTCTGAAGGCTGATGTCAATCTATAGCAGATACTAAATGATCAGAGAACTAAATTGAATTGAATCAATAAACAAGTCAAATAGTTTTATATGTCTAGAATTATAGCAAAAAAAATTCTTAAGACATAGTATAGTCTGTGGGTCCTAGATATTTCAAAATGAAATGTACCTGTATGGTGGGAAACTTTTCCAAGAAAAGACTCTGGTTATCCTATCCAATCAAGAGTAATATAGATTAAATCAAGGTTGATAGGAGGGAAATCTGCCTGTTTTATTTTTTCTCTATTTGTTGCTTATATGTATTGACAGATCAAAGGTTGAATATGTTGTTATATTTATATATAGACTTCAAGGTTGGTAAAGAACCACTTCATGAAAAAATAGAAATGCTAAGCAGCTTCTGGGTCCTTTTCCCAAGCTTCATAATAATAGATGGACTTTAGAAATCTAAATCATTTCAAACATGCTGATCTTTTGTTTTAAAGGACAGGTTAAATTAAACAAAATATTGATCTTAACATTATATACCTGATCATACTTACATCAGTTTTGTGCACGAGTTTAAAAATGTTTTTGTTTATGCCCATTGGTCTTCAAAATCTACACATCCAAAGTGAGGTAGAGACTTGTGTAATGATCCAGTGATTCTTCAACTATCTAGAGTCCAGAGAGATTAACTTTGTTTCCTCCCAAGAGAGGACTGAATTATTCAGATTTTCTGTTTGAACAATCCTTCTCTTCATTTTGGCTTAGGTAGCGAAAAGATTTAAACTGCTTACACAGAGTTTTAGAACAATATAATAGCAGTTCTTAAAGAATACATCTGTGTTCTGGGAGTGATATAAACATTGTATGAGGAATTTTTCATGATGTTGTCTTCCAGGTATCTCTAAGCAATAGAGGCACTACAGACCACATGGACGGTTTAGTCAAGTTAGAAGACATCAACAATGAAGGTAAAACAAGTCTAGTGATTTTATAAAAATATTTACTATCACTTTTTGTTGCTAGCCAGTA